TTTGCATATACAGGGTGACTCAAAAAAATTAATGAATGAGTAAATATATTTTATTGATTTAATCAGGAACTACAAAACCGAATGCTCTGAAATCTTGCAGATGTTTTAAGGTCATAAAGAGCATAATAAATGTTTAGTCAAAATATATTTGCTTATTCCCTCCAAAAACTTGATGACGTCAGCTCGAAAGTTTGCCGAATAAATCATATCTAAAATGTACAAAATATGATGAGCCTGTACTTGTCATTTATCACTCCATTCATATTTTTTGGATTTGCATATACAGGGTGACTCAAAAAAATTAATGAATGCGTAAATATATTTTATTGATTTAATCAGGAACTACAAAACGGAATGCTCTGACATCTTGCAGATGTTTTAAGGTTATAAAGAGCATAATAAATGTTTAGTCAAAATATATTTGCTTATCCCCTCCAAAAACTTGATGACGTCAGCTCGAAAATTTGCCGAATAAATCATATCTAAAATGTACAAAATAGGATCAGTCTGTACTTGTGATCTATCACTCCATTCATATTTTTTGGATTTGCATATACAGGGTGATTCAAGAAAATAAAAGAAAGCGTAAATTTATTTTACTGATTTACTCAGGAACTACAAAACCGAATGCTTCGAAATCTTGAAGATATTTTAAAATTATCATAAGCATGGTAAATTTTTGATCAAAACGTATTTGGTCGTCCCCCCTAAAAAATTTATGATGTCACCACAAAATTTTGCTGAATAAATTCTATCTAAAATGTACAAAATATGGTGAGTCTCTTCTTGTAATTTATCATTCCATTCAAATTTTTTCGATTTGCATATACAGGGTGACTCAAAAAAGTTAATGAATGCGTAAATTTATTTTATTGATTTAATCAGGAACTACAAAACCGAATGCTTTGAAATCTTGCAGATGTTTTAAGGTTATAAAGAGCATAATAAATTTTTAGTCAAAATATATTTGGTTATCTTCTACAAAAAACTGATGGCGTCAGCTCAAAAGTTTGCCGAATAAATCGTATCTAAAATGTACAAAATATGATGAGTCTGTACTTGTGATTTATCATTCCATTCATATTTTTGGATTTGCATATGCAGGGTGACTCAAAAAAATTAATGAAGGCGTGAATTTATTTTATCGATTTAATCAGGAATTACAAAACCGAATGCTTTGAAATCTTGGGAATATTTTAAAGTTATTATAAGCATGGTAAACTTTTGTTCAAAATGTATTTGTTCATCCCTCCTAAAAAAATTGATGACGTCACCCTTAAATTTTGCTGAATAAATCCTAAATAAATGCAAAAAATATGATGAGTTTGTACTTGTGATATATCATTCCATTCATATTTTTTAGGTTTTCTTAAGAGGTGGTTCAAAAAAATTAATGAAGTCAATTTATTTTATTGAAAAATTAATGAAGTCAATTTATTTTATTGATTAAATTAAAGGCAACACTTATTATTAGTATTACACCCCAGCCAACCCAATTTGATAGACACAAAATTTGTTAAAGGAAAAACTCGGTTGAAACATAGGGGTAGCACGCTTATTTACATCGACTTTAACATTACAGACCTGCATTTGTTTTATGCGCTCACTTGGTTCCGCGAATGTGAAATAGACATGTTTGTAATCAACCAATTGTGAATTTCACCGTCAAGAATTAAAATAAAACCCAATGTTTTATATAATAAGCGGAAGTCGAAGCAATAAAACCGATGGTCGTTTTGTTTACAGTTTCTCTGTTTGACTCTCACGTATGCTGTTACGCTTGTTATCTTAAATTAAGAATGTTTATACATAAACGATTTTCAGTTGCCGTATACGTGAGTAAATTGTTTCGTTATTTTATTGATTATTACAAATCAATATTCAAAACGACCCAATTCATTTTCCCGAAAATTTGAGAATATAATAATTTTATTCTTAGTATTACACTACATCTATCCCAACTGATATACGTGTCCTTGCAAAAATGTTGATGACGTCATCGCAATTTTTTTTTTAATTCCCACTACAAAAATGTAATGAGAAAAAAAACACAATAGGCATGCAGTCGTCAAGTTTCCGACAGCGAGGGAAGTACTGTCTAAACTCTTTAGACCAATTTTTTAAGTATGATGTTGTTGAAAGTAAAGTATAAATGTTAAGAACGAAAAAAAGGTAAAATTAAGCCCAATCCTCGTTTAGCACTTCTTCCCTGCTTTCCTCCGATTCTCTCAATCCTTCACATCCTTCCAGCATATGCTCTATTGTTTCTCGCTCTTTCCATCATATCCTAAACCTTCTGTCAGTTTCATCCATCCAAAAATTATTCTCTTTCTCTTCATTTCCACACCTAAATCTCGCCATCATTCTTTTCTCCTTTATACTCTCCTTCTCTCTGTGTACTTTGGTACTTCATCCTTTACTATTTTTCCATACTCTGCATTATATCTAGACTCCGATATTCTCGATCTGCGTTCTTGCTTATCTATATCCTTATTCCCATTTCTCTCATTCTCTCTATTTTTTCACATGCATATCCATTTCCTTCATAATACTTGTCTCTTTCGTTCCATACATGTTTTCCCCCTTCCTTTCTTATTTATTTGCAACATTCTTCCAATATTTTACAATCACCTGTCTCACTAAACTTCTCTTCAAATCCAACCGCCCTTGAACCTGCTTCCACTCTCATTTTCTCCCTTTTTGTTTCTTCTCTCACTATATACCCCGGCGTATACTTTTCCAATCCCAATGTCCATTTGAAGTATTTTTCTTGCACTCTCTCTATTTCTTCATATTTCCTCCATCCCCAAATCTCAACTCCGTACATGAATACACTTTTGAACAAACTATCAAACATCATCATTTTTCTCTTATAATCATGTCCAAATGTTTTCTCTTCTATTCCTCATCCTATACCTATCACTGTGTTCGCTTTTCGGACCATTTCTTGAATATGCACTCTATCTGAGTTATTGCTCTTTAATGTATATCATAAGTATTGGAATTCTTTCACCTGTTCAATCTTCTTCCCTTTCCATGCCCACTCTTCCTTCTCCTTTCTTACTTTTTTTCCCAAACACCACCATTTTTGTTTTTTCCGTATTCACTTCCAATTTCTTTTTTTTACATACTTCTCGAAACTTTTAATCATTGTTTTCATTTCTTCTCTTTTCTTTGCCACAATGACCAAATCATCTACGTACGCTAACGACCACACTTTCTCTTTGCCCACTACCACCCCTCCTGTCTGTACTTTTCTGAACATTTCATCTATATCTTCTAGATAAGCGGCAAACAATGCGGGACTGAGTGGGCATCCCTCTCTCACTCCTCTATTTGTATAAAAACTCTTGCTCTTTATTCGATTCATTCTCACCTTTCTTACTGTTTCTTCACATATGTCTTCCATTTTCGTTACCTATTCCCTTTCTCCTCAAATACTCAACAATACTATGAACAATGCGTATATTCGTCCACCCTCTTTCCTTATTTCTCTTTCCACTAAATGCGCAGGATGTACACATTGTCCATAGTACCTCTTCCTTTCCTAAACCCTGCTTGACCGTCTGGTAACATACCCTTTGCTTCCATCTCCTTTCGTAACCTCTCATCTAGTATCATTGCGTATATCTTGTACGCTGTATTGAGCAAGGTGATCCCTCGGTAGTTCTTCGCATCATATTTTTCCTCTTTTTTTAAATAATGGGATTATTATACCTTCTCTCCACTGCCAAAGAAACCCTTTTTCCTTCCAGACTCCGTCTACCACTTCCCATATCCTTTCTTTCACTCCTTCTATCCCCAAAATCCACGCTTCGTTCTGGATTCCATCCTCTCCTGGTGCCTTTCCTCTTTTCAGTCTTTCAATCTGCCTTCCTATTTCATCTTCTGTTATTTCCGAACCTCTCCACATTTCTTCCGTCGTTGTGATTCCTTTATTTATTTTGCAGCATTTTTCCTTACAATCTCCCAATAATTCCATAAAGTGTGTTTTCCATTCATGTATTTTGATTTTCCTTCAGTCTTCTTTCTCCTTGTTTATATATCTCCATACTTATTCTTCTTCTGTTTTTAGGGACTTTATTGTCTTCTCTTCTTCTTCTCGTTTTTCTCTTTTTCTTTCTTCACATTTTCTCCTATAATTCGCTCTTGCTGTTAAGTACTTTTCTTTCCTTCCCCTGTTATTCTTCAATTTTCTTAATTTTTCCCTTGTTTTTCTCTTCAAGTCAGTACATTCTCCGCTCCATCCCTTATTCCTCCCTTGCCATATGTATATCTTTCTTTTTTCCGTAGCTTCTACAATTAAGTTGATCAGTTCTGTTATCATAACTTCTGTATCTTCTTTTACTTCGAATTTCTTTTTTTCTAGTTTACTTCTGTATCTTTGAATTCCCTCTTAATCCCATATTCTGTTTTCTATTTCTTTTCTTTCGTCTCTTCTTCTCTATTCCCCCGCTTGCTCTCCCCTTTTTATTTTCCTTTGTCGTCCCTTGACACTCCCATACATATTCTTGTGGTAGTGTCTCTTCAAATTTCTCCCAGTTTTCTCTTTGTACCCATGTCTCTACTAGCCCCACCACATCGAATTTTCCTACGTAGTCCCAGAACTCCTTTTCCTTTTTTCGCAACCCTTGGACATTCCAAAACAGTACCTTCACCCCTTTTTCTCCTAAGTTTGTACCAGCTTCCCTTTTTCTGATTTCCTATCTGCATTCTTTATTCCTTTGCCTTGTTTCCTTCCATTTTTCCTCATTTTCTTTCTTTTCTTTTGGCAAATTTTAACGAAGATAAGGATCGCTGTTTACGTGAAATAACAAAATAAATTTAGATCTCAAAGGAAACCAGATGTTGCCTACAATTTATTTTTCCTAAAACTTACCTAGATTTTTTTTATTTTGCTATTTTCGGGTCTAAATCCCCCGTTTTTACCGCCTAACTATTTCGGCTCTTTAGTTAATATCAGTACTACTAAAAACACAATTTTGTAAAATAAAAACTCATTTTTATCACGCTTCTTTACGTTTATTTCAACTTGTAAAAAATAAAATTCGCAAATCAAATTTTATAATTTTTCGAAAATCTGGCTATGTTTCATTGCACTTCAGGGGCGAGCGAAGTTCTGTCGGAACAATCTTCGACCAATTCTTTTCTATTTAAGACGAATTAAACTTTTCATTTGTGAATAGTCGTGATGACCCAATCGACGTAAGGAGAAACTTTCGTGTAGATCGAGGTGTTGGTGCTGAACTGGCAACCCACTCCCAGGGAATACACACCGATGAGGAATAACCTACCAGTGTCGAGTTTTTTTCTCATCATGAGGGGGCCTCCGGAATCGCCGGGACAGGTTTGGGCGTTGTGGGTGGACCCTGCACAAAACTGTTTGCTGGTGAGGACACGGTTCACTCGACAGGTTTCTTTACGCCTGAGCATAAACCTCGCGTGGACTTTAACTGGGTTCATCACTGAAAGAAACTAAATTGAGAAAAACGACCCTCGGAAGTACGAAAAAACTACGAACCGCCTTTTTCTGTATTACCCCAACCGGCAATCAGCAGCGTTTGATTAAAAGGTGCGATTAAATTTGTCGGAGGCAAACAAATCGGTTTGATGAAATCTGAAACATTAATAATTGAGACGAAATTCGCACAAAGTGATCTTTACCTGTGTACTCTACTTCACGACTCATGCGTATTAAAGCGATGTCGTCTGTGAACGTACTTAGCTTATAATCAGGGTGCATGTGGTAGGATTGCACAGGTACCTCTTGAATTTTGTCAGCACAGTCGTCACCTATGCAATCCGTTTCACTCCGTACATCATACTCACCCAAAACCACGGAAATTCTAAAACTGTCTTGTTAATTGATGCTCGTTTTTGGTTTAATATCACTCACAAGTTTAGACCGTCTAGGTTCAACCTGTTTGGATCAACACAGTGAGCGGCAGTCAATAGATACCTCTTAGTAATAAGGCTGCTATGGCACCCATGAAGCATGTTACCTTTTTTTGTGCGATATTTTATCAGACCAATCCATGGATAGTCGTCAATGTCAGTTTTCTCTCCTCCTGATATTTTCTCTTCTGAAGCATCTACTCCACAGCTGTCATAATTTGGGATAAGTTGGCCACTATCCATGAACTTCGTGACTTCTTGTAGGTTTGGACAGTTCACGTAGATGCGACTGTTCTCGAATTTACAATGTAAAAGAGTTAGTAGAGTTGTACCTGCAAAAGTATCCTTCTTTGTTTTTATTATTTCGTTAACGTGGGGACAGTTTTGTACTTGCACACATTCATCTTTCTTATCGACTATAAAAGCTGTGTGACTCCAGATTTGTAGAAAACTTAGAAAATCTAAAAGAAATTTATTATTAGCCGTTTTTTAGCTGCAGGGTATGCTTACATAAGAAGAATACTGTTTTATTAACACAACACATTTCACGGACTTAGAGAACACAAACGAATAACATTCATACTACTCATTTAATTAAAAGCTGATTTCTAGCTTCGTTAACCTTGGTATAACAGTACTGTAATACCAAGGTTAAGACAGAAGACAAGGTTGCCTGGAAACTTTTAACCATCACCTTTGAACCAGTCAGAGCTAGGCGGGAATTGACGTCATCGGGCGTGCCCTTTTAAATTTTACTCAAAATGGGTGTAGTATAGTGTCAATAAAATGAGTAGGGAAAATTGTTAACGTAAGGAATATATATAAGAGGTGATTGTACAGTTGGATAGTGTGGATTAGGTAGTGTTAGAATAAAGTTCTAAAAACGCAACCTGGGTTTCTGTGACCCTTCCCCCCGTACTCAGTGCCTAAATGTAAGAGACAACAAACATGAAACGGCATATAAATGTTGAATATTACATGGCGACCCTGCCAGTGCCTAAATGATGATTCCAGGATAATTGAAACTGAAACCCGTTGTCAGAGGAAAAAAAGACATGGGCAGTAAAACGTCGAAAGAAGAAGTCATAATTGCGCAAACAGCAAGCGGGGATGCGACCATAACGAAGACGGATTGGATCTTAATCTGTTTGACGGTTGTGTTGGTAATTTTATTACTATGGCTGGGAATCAAAAAGTGTAAGAAAATGCTAAGAAAAGTGGTACGTCAAGAAATCCATAAGAATGAATTGGAGCATTCCAGGGACGCTACTACAGAGGCATAGTGATTTAGTGTTACAGTGCAGTGATTGAATGGAAAGTGAAAATCAAGTTAAGTTTTAATCTATTGAAAGTGGGAAAAAGTGGTTAAGTTCGTGAAATTGCGCATAAGGTATTGTAACAGGTTTTCAAAAAGGAAATATGTCGGGTTAACATCGGTCAAAGGAAGTGCAAAGTACATTTTCACTCGTAGGAAATGAAAATTGGAACTTCAGCAAATTAACTAGTTATTGCATCGAGAATTTTTTTTTGCATGTTAGATATAAAACTTGGGTTCATTGTTATTGCTGATCGTTGTAATTATTGTTTGATTTATCGTAAAATGTTTGATATGCTAATTTGGTATGAAAGGTTGAGAAACTTTTGATGGAGTTAAAATTAACGGGCATTCATAACAAATTAAAAGAGATAAGAACTTATTTAATAAAAATCGGTCGGGATAGGCGCACTATTGAGTGTGTAAATAGGAAGATAAATGAAGCAAATGAAATTTATAAATGTTTAGATCAGGTAAACAAGCAGGTTAAATTAGACGTAACAAATAAGGAGTATACTGACGAAGATATTAAAAAATTAAATGCACTAAACGGTGAGATACGAAAGATATACAAAGAAATTTTAAATTTTTCAAAAAGTACCAGTACGAGTGTCGGCTCCAAGATGGCATTTGATCTTAAAACGGCTGTTAGTCTATTACCTGTCATGAATGATGATGAGGCTGTAACAATGCAATTGATTGACGCAATAGAACTTTACGATACTATGTTAGAATCAACCGGTAAACCTTCTTTAATAAATTTTGTCTTGAAAACACGTCTTTCAGTTGGTGCGAAACTTAGACTTAAATCGAATTACGATAGTGTTGCTTTGCTCATATCGGATATGAAAACACATTTGATTACAAGGAAAAGCGATACCGCTTTGCAAACGAAATTAATGCGCGCCACACAAGGAAATAAATCCGTTTCAGATTTTGGTAAAGAAATAGAAGAAATATTTGTTAATCTTACTATATCACAAGCTAATGGCGATTCGACAGCATTTAATATTTTAAAATCAGTGAATGAAAAAAATGCTATTAAGAGATTCGCGGATGGCTTGCGTAATCAAAAATTAAGTACCATTGTTGCATCTAGAAATTTTTCATCTCTTAAAGACGCGATTCAAGTAGCGCAGGATGAAGAAATATCACGCTTCGGTCCAGAAAATCAAATTATGACAGCAAATCACAATAAACGGAATTATAATAACGCTAGCAAGAAATATAAATCAAACCAAGGTTCGGATTATTCACATAAAAATTGGAACTATTCACACAAATTTCGTAGAGATAATAACGCAAATGGATCAAATTATGCAAGAGGGAATACATCAAACACAAATCGTAATTTTAATAGAAACAAATACTCAACAGGGAAAGTTTTTAATCATAACCATAACAACAATTCATTTCGTAAATACCAATCAAATAAACAAATTAATCATGTCCAAGAAACGACGAAACAAAACACAGAAGTAGAAACCCGTAACCACCAGTTTTTTCGAGAAAGTAATAATTAATGAAATTTGTGAATGCAATGGCACCTCATGGGTAAATTTTGGAGTAAACGATAATAATTTTAGTTTTTTAGTAGATACGGGAGCTTCATTGTGTGCTATTAAGCATGAATGTTTATCTAGCGATAATGAAATAATAAAAGAAAAATTGAAAATTAAGGGGATTACAGGTTATATTTTTTCAGAAGGGTACGTTCATTTAAAATTGAAATATAATGGAAAATATTTTGTTCAAAAATTTTACGTATTTAAAAATTTATCGTGTTCAACAAATGGCATTATAGGTAAAAATTTTCTGAAAAAGTTTAGAGGAGTTATTGATTTTGAAAAGGATACTTTACTTCTGTCACATTTTAATAAAGAAACTATAATACCTTTACGTTCTGATAATGATGATATTATTGCAATTCCACCACGATGTGAGTTTGTTTTTTGGTTATCGACAAAAATTAAAGAAGATTGTGTTATTGTGTCAAAAGAATTATGTCCTGAAGTCTTTATTGCCAACAGTATTGTTAGACCAAAAAATGGTAAAATTCCGGTCAAAATTCTCAATACAAGAGAAACTGAAGTATGTTTGAAAAACTGTGTACCTGAGTTGCAAAGATTATGTGAATATAACATATGTAAATTTGAGAGAAATACAGTTCTGGCTGATAGAGTAGAAAAGTTATTAAATTTGTTAAACTTAAAGTCGTTAAATCCACAAGAACAGAAAACAATTGAAAATATTTGTGCTAAATACGCTGACATATTTCATTTACCAGAAGATAAATTATCGACTACTAATTTATATAAACAATCCATTAAACTGAAGGATAATACAAGCTCTATTTATGTCAAACCCTATAGGATTCCACAAACACAAAAACTAGAAATCGAAAAACAAATACGTAACATGTTAAAAGATGATATAATAGAAGAATCTAAAAGCGAATATTCGTCACCACTTCTTCTAGTTCCAAAGAAAAATGATAGAAATGGTGAAAAGAAATGGAGGGTAGTTATCGATTATAGGTTACTTAATCAGAAAATTGAGGACGATAAATTTCCCTTACCGAATATAACAGATATTTTAGATTCATTAGCGGGAGCGATATATTTTTCTCACTTAGATCTGAGTCAGGGATACTATCAGGTAGAATTAGAACAACAAAGTCGACCTTATACAGCTTTTACTACAAACCAGGGGCAGTTTCAAATGAAAAGGTTGCCGATGGGGTTAAAGACAAGTCCCAGAGCTTTTTCACGACTAATGACAATAGCAATGTCTGGTTTAAATTATGAAAAATGTTTTGTCTACCTAGATGATTTAATTGTATTTGGAAGAAATCTACAAGATCACAATTCTAATTTAATTAAAGTATTCAACAGGCTTAGGAAAGTAAACTTGAAACTTAATCCAGTAAAATGTGAGTTTTTGAAGAAAGAGATTCTTTATTTGGGACATATTATTACATCGAATGGTATTTTACCTGATCCTAGTAAAACTAAAATATTAAATGAATATCCTATTCCAACAACAGTTGATGAAGTAAGACGATTCGTGGCATTTGCTAATTACTACAGAAAGTACATACCAAAATTTGCTGAAAGGGCAGCACCCTTAAATCAACTTTGTAAAAAAAATGTAACATTTGAATGGTCTAAATCTTGTCAACAAGCTTTTCTAAATCTTAAAAATGCTCTTACGAAACCTCCGGTATTGGATTATCCAGATTTTTCAGAAAAAAATGAGTTTATTTTACAAACTGATGCATCTGGGATAGCAGTTGGAGCTATTTTATCAAATCAAAATAGTAAACCAGTAGCTTACGCCAGTCGAGTTCTAAATAAAGCCGAATTGAATTATTCAACTATAGAAAAAGAGTTATTAGCTATAGTCTGGGGAGTGAAACATTTTCGACCGTATCTGTATGGTAGACGGTTTAAAATTTTAACTGATCACAGACCACTGGTGTATTTATTCAATCTTACCAATCCCTCTAGCAGATTAACTAAATTTAGATTATGTTTGGAAGAGTATGATTTTGTTGTTGAGTATGTGAAAGGAGCAGATAATGTCTCTGCAGATGCTTTATCACGAGTGAGTGTGTCATCGAATGAATTGAAAAGTATGAATGAAAATTTGATTGCTGTGATGACAAGAGCGCAAGTAAAAAAATGTAAATCCAGTGACCAGAAATATGACAATTCAGAGATTACTGCAAACATACGGACTGATCACCCGAATATTGTAGAAATACTCAAAAAACCCAAAGATTGTATTGAATTGGTAATTAATCCTAAGGCAATTTCCAAAAGTTTTGAGAGATATCACAAAGAAAACATTGGAAATTTTACCTATATTCCTGCTGTGTCAACAATTTACACAAACCTAAAATCCCGATCGGCATCAGCGCGAGACGAGTTGTCGAGAGAATTAGCGTTAATTTGTAAAAAATTTGATATTACAGAGTTGACAGTTTTAAAAAATAATGATAATGCGCATGTTATAAGAGACCTAGCTAGGATATGTAATAATGAAATGAGCTCACAGGGTACCCAAAATACAAATAAGTTCAACCTTCCTTTTCCAAGGATTTATGTTGTGTCAGGAGCTCAACGTGTATTTAATAAAGATGAGCAAACAGTAATTTTAAATGATTTCCACTTACTACCAACTAGTGGTCATGCAGGAATTAACAGAATGCTAAATAACATTAAAAAATATTACTTTTGGCCAGGATTAGGTAGAGACGTTACGGATTTTGTAAAAAAATGTGATAGTTGTCAAAAACAGAAATTTAGTAAACATATAAAAGAACCAATGGTAATTACATCTACACCATCTTCTTCGTTTGAGAAAATCTATTTGGA